GAAGAGAGAACCTTAAGAAAAAAAGTCAGGTAAAGGAATGTCTGATTAAGGCTCAGCTGGCAGAAAATGTACTGGAGTGGAGAAGAAGTTGGGAACAAGAGGAAAGTATCACTTATAATGTACATTTATTGTGAGCAAGAGAGAGATAAGTTCTTGGTGAATACAGATAATATGATAGAAGAGAGAAAAGGAGAGTTCTAGGAGAATGTGTGCATAGCAGGGAAAGGTACAAAATATATGAAAGATTTGCAAAATCAAGCAGGGCAAGAAATTGATGGAGAATAACCAGTGACTAATAGAAGAAACCGCTGTGTGTCAGACATTTATCTCGACCAGGGGTATTGAATTAAAATTCAAAGAGGTCCGGTGAGTACATTTTTTTTCCAGCAGAAGTCTGAATCTCATGTCCCCTGAATACAACCTTATATTAGTTGCCCCCATTGGAGTGCCCCCTTACATTAGTGTTCCCTATTGGAATGCCCGCTTACATCAGTGTTACCCATCAGAGTGCCCCTTTACATCAGTTGTCCCCATCAGTGTGCCCACTTACATCAGGTGTCCCCATCAGTGCGTCCACTTACATCAGGTGTCCCCATCAGTCTGCCCACTTACATCAGGTGCCCCATCAGTGTGCCCACTTTTGTTTGTTGTATAGAGCTCTTCGCCGAGTGCATCAGACGGAATCCAGAGATCAGAGGGATCACCGCACCGGGTCCAGACAGACGGGAGGCCAAGTGTTCGTTGTACATGGACGACGTGACGGTGTTCTGCACAGACCAGCGTTCCATCGACGTGCTCGTCCAGACCTGCGAAGACTTCGGCCGAGCTTCGGGGGCAAAAGTCAACTGCGGGAAGTCGGAAGCCATGCTCTTCGGAAAGTGGTACCTGCCTTCTTCTGCGCCCATCCCCTTCAACATCAGAGCGGATTTCATCAAAATCTGGTTTGGAGCTGAGGGCGCGGCCCTAAAGTCCTGGGAGGAGAGACTGTCAAAGATGCGGCAGAAGTTTGGACTCTGGAGCCTCAGAGAACTCACCATCGAAGGGAAGTCACTGGTACTCCGCAGCGAGATTCTCCCTGTGTTGCAGTACCTCACCCAGGGCTATGATATGGCAGGAGCAAGGGGGCTGTACTAGGGAAGGGCTATGCTATGGCAGGAGGAAGGGGGCTGCACTATGGAAGGGCTATGATATGGTAGGAGGAAGGGGGCTGTACTAGGGAAGGGCTATGATATGGCAGGAGGAAGGGGACTGTACTAGGGTAGGGCTATGATGTGGCAGGAGGAAGGGGGCTGTACTAGGGAAGGGCTATGATATGGCAGGAGGAAGGGGACTGTACTAGGGTAGGGCTATGATGTGGCAGGAGGAAGGGGGCTGTACTAGGGAAGGGCTATGATATGGCAGGAGGAAGGGGACTGTACTAGGGTAGGGCTATGATGTGGCAGGAGGAAGGGGGCTGTACTAGGGAAGGGCTATGATATGGCAGGAGGAAGGGGACTGTACTAGGGTAGGGCTATGATGTGGCAGGAGGAAGGGGGCTGTACTAGGGAAGGGCTATGATATGGCAGGAGGAAGGGGACTGTACTAGGGTAGGGCTATGATGTGGCAGGAGGAAGGGGGCTGTACTAGGGAAGGGCTATGATATGGCAGGAAGAAGAGGGCTGTACTAGGGAATTGATTCTCTGAAGTAGAACATTTTCAAGCACATTCAAAGACACATTGCAAGTGAAGAATTGTTTATGGAATTAAAATCACTGCAAGTGAGCATTTAAAATACTTGATTTTTCTGTGCTTTTACCTGCATTTTTTGGGTTGCTTTAATGTTTATATTTGTTCTTTATTTTATTGAGGACAAATGTGACAGATTGCCTGTTTAAAGACACTGAAAGAATAAAAAATTTTTCCCCCTGCGGACTCATACACATGTTGGGATACAATGTTGAACGTGTACAAAAACTTTTAGAAAAAGGCAAGCACTGCACACAACAAATACATTGTTTCTTACAGCTTTTACCTTAACCATAGCTCAACTTTGCAACAATAACTTTAAACATATACTGAAAACACGCTGTAATTCCCTTTAAGTATGTGAGCTGTGGATCATAAAACCAGAATGAGCACTGACAAACAGTGCACTGCATATGGTGAAAAGTTTAAGAGCTTCTCCCAGGGCAAATCTCTGTTCCAGTCTGCTTTTCTACTAGTTATTCTCAATCACGGCGGAGATGCTCCTTAGGGCCGGCACAGATGGTTGATAATGTGATTTTGTTCCTTCTTGATTTTAACTCAGGCTCATCCCATCTGAACATTAGAGCCATTGATTCCCAGCATCAGTACCTATGTGCTTATACAATTAAATGTGCCTAGACTGTAACATTTTGCATGACTTAAGCCTGCAAATAAAGCTGTTGCATACATATTTATATATATATGATCTTTACCATTTGAAACCCTCAGGGGGCAGACTCTAGGAAACAGCCCAATCTTTCCTGAGACTCCTAAAGTGTAAATGAACTCCAGAAGCTGTGCCCAAAAAAAAGGCAAGCAGAGGGCAAAGAACTTGTCATGGGATTAGTATTGCCTGAGGTCACCTTGCAGCTGATCCTTTCCCATTAACGACTTACCATTGCTTATTTTGCACTGCATCTCTGTGTGGAGCACTGGCAGAACTACCAGGGTCGCAGCGGTCGCAATTGCGACCGGGCCCTGGCATTCTGCCACTTGGGGGGGGCCCAGCGAAGAAATGCACTGCCCGAGTGCCATGGCCAGGGGGGGCCCATCACCCGGTGGCATAGCATGGGGGGGCCGTCACCTGCACCGGGGCCCTGAGGGTTCTAGTTACGCCTCTGGTGTGGAGGCAGCCATCTTGGTAGAGGCAGGGTTTTGCTTCCTCATACCAGAGTCTCCAGCAAGGAGAACATTGAGCAGCACAGTAAGGATATCCCTAAATCTAATTCCACATTTACTGGGACTAGCAGTCGGAGACAGCAATTCCTGAGATCTCACACTGCAGATATACAGCTATAAGGTAGCAGACACAGGAGCACCAAGGCACACAAATCAGGAGGTGCACTTTGAGGAGGAATTCAAGGTTAATTGGGGTACAATTAACATTTCTAAATGTTTCCTATAACATAACAAATCTGCACTTTCTACAACTTCAGGTCCACTTTAAAAACAGCTGAAACAGACCTGGATAGCAGGAGAGATCAGATTACACAAGCTGCAGAATGACTTAAGGTGCCCATACACCTTACGAATATTGGCTGATTTTCGTATGCGATTGCGTTTTCGTCCGATATTCGTAAGGTTGATGGGCAGTGTACAACTGCAAATACTGTACAATCGACCGACTTTTGACTAACCAGCAGGTTAGAAAACTTTGGTCGATCATACAATTTTTGCAAGGTTGGTGGCGTTTCCGTACATCAAAATTTGTACGATCTACACGGCACATGTGCAGACGAAAATATGTGCATTCGATTACTGCAATTCGTCCAGGTGCTTTCTTCTAATTACCGCTGATCCAACCTTGCGATAATCGGGGCAGGATGGGACCGCAGTACGAAAATCATACAATGGTTCGATCATCGGAAGAAAAGTTTCCTCCGATGATCGCAAGGTGTATGGGCACCTTTAGAGGAGAGTATTTGTTATACACAGGCTGATGAAAGCATGCATGTAGTACAAGAGTTTATTAGAAACTAAGTATGACATACACTGCTAATTATGCTATTACACTTATGCTAATACACTGCTATTATGTGTTATGTGTAAAATAATTATTACAAGAGATAGTTGTCTCTGGAAAGTGGAAGTGATTGGCTATTATGCCTATGACATAACATAAGTGATATATTTGGTTGCTCCTGCATTTGGATAAGTGAAAGGTGTGTTATGATGGGTGGCTATGAGCTACCGGACTTTGCATGACATCATTGCTCTGCTCTGTTTTACTTGAAGTGGACCAAGAATCAGATAAATGCACGTTAAGTGCACAGGTGCTAAATATAAGTGCAACACTCTTAGGTATGTATTACCTGACAATGTCTTTATCTGTTTTTCTCTCCAGAAGAGTGGAGCCCTCTTTATTCAAGGATCATTATCATCAAGAATCATCATTAAAATATGTACATCCTGGTGCCAGTGCAGGTCTTGGCTCTGTTTCCACAATTCTGATACAGATCAGCTCCTTGCTGCTGCATCAGCCTACATTTACACTTGATTGTTGGCAGGGGCGTCCCTACACTTGAGGCGGCAGGGGGTGAACGTTACGGGGAGGTGGCAGCGAATGTTACTGGGGGGTGGGTAAGTGGTGATGCACATTACAGGGGACAGGGTGGTTGCACGGTACTTCTGTCTGGCATCCCGCCCAGCTCACTGATGTCACTTGTTGCCAGGAGCTGGGTGGGACGCCAGCCAGAGCATTTCGCTCAGCTCCTTGCAACCAGTGATGTCAGTGTGCTGGGCGGGTCGCCAGCCAGAGTGCCACAGGTCTCTGAAAATGGAAGCGCTTCTGGAAATGCGTTTCTAATCGCTTAGGGATGAATGCGGGCTCACATCCTTTGACCATTTACAATACTGTAGTCTGATCACTGGTGGTGAGGAGACTAAGAAAATGCTTCCTCCTGCCTGCAGCAGACTGATGACATCATATCACCTTAGGCACAGTCACTTGAATGGAACTCAAATACTGCTTTATAATGATAAGATGTATTGCAGACTTGCAGAATCGATGATGGGTCAATATTAATAAGCATGGTGCATTTGTAAAGGAGGCATAGGTATATCATAATATTAAGAGGATAGTTGTTTAGTACACCACATATTCTTAGAAAAAACAATTTCAGCCTCCTTGCACAATCAGCACACAGCATAGGGACATTCCCTATCATTAGTCTACTACTTCCTCATTCCATACCCCTTCCTTGTTGCAGTTTCATATTCAGTAGTGTATAAGTGCAGCGATTGCAGCTTCACCACAGTACTGGTAAAGGCACGGACGGGTGAGCTATAGAGATGGCATTTTCCCATACCATACATGTGACCCTGTCACTGGCCATGTGTCTGAGTGTGGCAGGTGCTGTGAAGCCCGGATTTGTGGTGAGGCTCACTCAAAAGGGACTGGATTATGGTAAGTTGTGATGTCAGTGATGGAGCAACTTTTTTGGATAAAACTCAATGCATTAATATATTTAAAAAAACGTTTGCATTCTTAAGTATTTCATTAAGCTTTTCAAGCATTTATTTTTCTCTATTATAATGTTCCTTGATTAGCTTCAAATGAGGTATTTTCTAACCCAGAGATAGGCAACCTCTGCGCTCCAGCTGTGGTGAAACTAAAAATACTGTCATGCTTTTGCCTAAGGGAGTCATGCCTGTGGCTGTCAGTGTCTCGCAATGCCCCATGGGACTAATAGTTCTACAACACCAGGATTGCCGAGGTTGCCTACTGACAGCTGCTGCAAACCTTGTCGGTTATTTGCATAGTGGGTAGTATTTTTACTATTATTCTGTGAACTGTCTGAGGGCTCTTGCCTATGACGGTCTGTGGCCGTACAGTGTAAATTCCATACTGTCTGCATTCTGTGTCTGTGTGGCTTCACGCAACTCAAGAGCATATCTGCACACAGCCATTGACTTCTATGGGAGGCTGTAAGCAGCACCTGTGACTCCCTGACAGGAGAAATGCTCCAGAATTTACGCTGTATGCCACAAGTGGCCATGTGCAAGAGTCCTATGATAATTATTGTCAATGAGGCAACTCGTATAATTTGAAACTTCAAAGTGCTTCTGTAAAAAAATGTCAGGAGTTAAAGGCTTTTGTCCAAAAACCTTTCCAATATGCTCCTAGCAATTTCAACTTGTCTATGTGCACTGAGCAGTGTACAACCCGACTAATTCTCGACATGCTGAGAATAGAGCCAGGTGACAGGGACCAAGTGAGCAATAAAACCATCATCAGTGGCGGTTTAGTGGCAAAGTGGGGCATTGCGGGACCCAGCATAAGTGGTAGGTGAGATGGCAGCAGCAACAGATGTAGTGGTGACTGGAGCCTGGACCCATCATTGGAGACTGGGGATCCCTGGTGACTGAAGTCCAGACCCACCATTGGAGACTGGAGATCACTGGTGACTGCAGACGTGACCCATCATTGGAGACTGGAGATCATTGGTGACTGGAGCCTGGACCCATCATTGGAGACTAGAGATCATTGGTGACTGGAGGCTGGACCCATCATTCCTGAAGGAGGAATCAATAGGTGGTAAGTGTGCTATAACGTGCTAGTATGCTGTACAAGCAAGAGCTCACCTCCACTCAGAAAGAATTTAGTTCCGCTTCGATGCCAACTCTGTCTAAACTGATATTTCAGGTTAGCATGATTGATGGTAAGTAAGAAAACAAGCTTGCTACTTCTTGTAAACTCAATTGATGAGAGTTCTCCTCTAAAATCCCCAGTTCTGCACAACTGCTATCACACTTACAGAGACAAATTATGTTGTCAAGCTCTTCTAAAGGATAAACTTCATAGTAGATGAATAGTTGGGCAGTCCACCACCAGCCACATAATACTTTAGTTATGATCACTGGGTCTCCCTCTGGGAACCTGGGAATGCTGAGGATTCTAAACCTTGGATGAAAGTTTTCCTACATTCTCACATGATTTGGAATTGTCAGCCTTCCCAGCATCCCCCAGAAAAGCCAAGTGATCATACCATTGCCTCGGCCAGGTGATGATGATTTCACTTGGTGATGTCATTGGGGCTCCTCCTGGGAATGCTAAGCATTTCAAATCCTGGGAGAAAGTATTCCTACATTTTCACATGATTTGGGATCCTCAGCTTTCCCAGGATGCCCCAGAAAGGCAGAGCAATCTTACATTTGCCTAGGCGAGCATTTCAGAAGCTGAATGGAAATATTTTACTTTTTCTCTTCACTTTGCTCCCCTGCTGCTGTCCTTGCCAACAAGATTCAAGAAAAGCCCGGTGTATGCCCCAAGATGTTCTCTTTGGAGCTTACACACAACATAGTGACATGTGACAGCACTTAGGCCTGATGATTGGTCACTCAGGCATACAGCATTGGGGGGATAAAGGGATGAAGGCGCATGCTCCCCCATACCCAGAAGTACAAGGTATTTCCTTTTGCTCAAAGCCCCAGAATGGACCAACGTGAGTGCAAAGTGAAAGTGCAAATCCCTGAGTACAAGTTCATTATAAAACAGGAATCTGTAAACATTCAGCAAAGATTTAAAGAATAATTGACCAAAACCATTATAGCTCCTTTTAAATGCTACACCTGCATGGTTGACATACTCACGTATTTACAGAACTGATACTGCTATTGCTTCACCTGTGCACAAGAAATGGTCCTACTAATGTATCATTGCTGAAATGACGCACTTTGCAAAGAATTTCAGTTGTGGATGATCAACAGGCTATTTTGAATTTAGAGATGTCTTTTTTTCTCAATTTCAGCACGCCAAGAGGGAATGGGCGTTCTGCAGAAGGAGCTTGCAAAGGTCCATATTCCGGATTTTTCAGGATCAGCACACAGTCCTGTGGGAAAGATCAAGTACAGTTTCTATGGGTGAGATGTAAATCGATTCCTACATGCCCTACTAGTTTGCATTAAAGTGTATTTCCACTTTCGCAGCCAATTTGGGATAAAACCTCTTCTATGTTTAGCAAAGGAAATCTCACCACTCCAATTCCTTAGCCGCCATCGGGACTCCCCAGGTGCTGGTCTAATAGGTGCTGCTCCACCTTGGAATGTAGTAGTATACGAACAGACAGCAGTATCCAGACTCTCAATAAAGTCTGAAGTATTGGAATTCTCTGGATAGCCCGGTCTGTTCGTATACTACATATTCTATGTCTGTTACATGTTCCCATTATCACAGCATAAGCTACAAAAAAAAAAAAAAAAGTACTTCTTGCAGTTTAAATTGCTTTTACTTGGGTTAGGGTTTTAAGGGTTAAAATTTCTTCTAGGTTCTGTTTCTTTGAATTATTAGGAGGGGCTGTGAGGGGTCTAAGGTGGCTTGTCCATTGTATGTTAATGAAGCTTATCAGAGAAACACAATCCTCAATTTTCAGTCCCAATAAGGACAGACCACTGTAAAAGGGCTGAGAATAACCTGGCATCAGCCATCTTGCCTGTGTTAACAAAACATCTAAAAGGTAAGACATTTTTTTTTAAAGTTACTTTTCAGTATGCTGCGTGAATAGGAACACACAACGGACATATAGAGGGGTTTTCTCAAATTTGGCTGTACACACGCGGTCATGGAGGGACACATAGACACACAGACATGAGACTAACATTTTAAACACAAGAACTTATTAATACATCTACATATTTCTATACTTTAGTTTTATGCTATTATTTTGTAATCATTTGTAACTTTGTAATTAAACACATTTATGAGTTTCAAGCAAGAACGGAAGCTATTTTTCCTTTTTTAAACTTTTCACCCTAAGAACAAGAATATGAATATGACATAAAAATATGACATCAAATATCATATTCAACAGCTGCAAAAGTGGAAATACACTTTAATTTAAAATTCAGGGAATATACTGCCCTCTAGTGGTCAATACTCCCATAACCGATGCAAACCTTTTTACTACTATGCCGTTCGATGCAAAAACTATCCACTTTCCAAGTGGAAAGATGACTTTGGGTTACATTTTGTTTCTGCATGTCCTGCCTTACGTTAATGTTAGTTATGAGATCATTTCTAGTGTTCTAGTGCTTGCTAAAGGAACACTTCCATGACGATGTGCAGTGGTCCAAAGCAGCACTGTCTACTAGTGGTGTGTGAAAGGGGTTTTCTATAGGGCCAGAATTATAGTAGTAGAATAGGAGTAATTTATAAGTACATGGGTGTAGCTTAGAAGTATACGGCGTAATGAAAGCATTACATGCAGAGAGCATTAGGCCCCATTCACATAGGAACACATGCCCCATTCTGGGATTCCTGCGGCAAGAATCTACAGATTCCTGGGGCAAGAATCCCAGGTGTCCCCATATGGATGGGGTCTTAGGATATGAATGCATACATTAGAGCCAGAGAGTGTGGGCAGAAGTCCCCCAACCTGCCATAGATCAAGGAGACTGGTAAGATAACATTCTAGCTAATACTAGCACTATATGAGATGACCAAACTGCATCTAGATTCATGGGACTGAAGGCGGAGCCAATATATACCATGCTAATATGACACTTTTGGGCAACCACCAGCTGCTGACTAAAAGCTGTATGCTACCTTAAAGTAGAAACAATATGAATCCAGATCAAACAAATATACATTGCCCAGCAAAGCTTTTCTTTAAATGTACTACTATCAGGTTCCCTAACAGCTGGCTCCAACTCTCTCAGCTCGGCTTCCCTCAACTTCCTGTCCAGGACAAGATCACATGGGACAGCACAGCGTCCAGCAGCTGTCCATCTAATAGCTTGGAGAAGGGAGCAGGGAGGAGAGGGGAGTGGATTGGTTTGCTGTGCCTGTGTGTTTGTAGAGACACACACAGCTTACTAGCACACACAAGGGTGGCTCTACAGGACCCTGCACTCTTAAACATTATGGCCACTAGATGAAGCTGAGGAGCATAGAAAATAAGTCTTTATTCCCTATGCTCCTTAGCTCCATCTGGTGGCCATAATGTATTATTACAACACACTACATTCGACCTGGAAAAAAATATATTAAGTTTCTGGCATTATGTTCACAGATGTATGTGTTTATTATGTGATAACACATGGTCAGAGGTTTATTATTAACATGATGTCTTTTTCTTGTCTAGCATGGCTATCCGTAACTTCCAGTTACCCACCTCACAGATCAGTCCCGTGCCCAATGTTGGTCTGAAGTTGTCAATCTCTGGAGCTTTCATTGAGATCAGTGGGAAGTGGAGAGTCAAGGCAAAGCTTCATATGTAAGACATTTTCCAGGGATTGTTATTTGGTGTTATTTTATACCTTTCGCTTGCTGAAAAATACTAACAAAATGTTCTGCATTACTTGTCAATAAGAACGGCCCATTGTCAGGTATATAACTGCCATCAATTGTCAATTGTCTGTCAAACGCTGGAAATCACAGCTGTTGTATCTGTCATCTCATTGCAGGCCGTGTTGGTCACCATTTGACTGTTTACAGTTTAAAAATCCTTGATAGTTTGGAAAGCTTAAATCTTGGTAGTCTCTCCAGTTTGATGCAGCTTTACAAAGAGAAAAGTTTTCATTCTTGAAAAGAAGTATTTATTCTGTCAATGTTCCTGTGTTTTAGATACTCTATGTCACTGATGGCTAACGTTTTTGAACCCGAGTGCCCAAACTGCAACACAAAATCAACATATTTATCTCAAAGTGCCAACACTGAAAATAAGTTTGGTATTGTGTCTTAGTTTGGGCATTGTGTTTAAAGAACACTCAGGATTTTGCCTTAGGCAAAATAGGGCAACACGCATATCCAAACATTTAAACATTTTATTTGTTCTTTATTTTTTTACTAGTTTATTTTTTATTTTTTATTTATTGTTTACTTTTTTAAATTTGTATTTATCTTATTATCTTTTTCTTTATTTTTGATCATTTACATTGATTTTTATTATTTTTTACTTTTGTATTACTTTTTTTTATTTTTTAATGATTACTTATTATATTTTTTACTTATTTTTTAAATTTTTATTTATTGTATTATTTTCAACTTTTTATTAACTTAATTTTTTTGTTATTTTTATTTATTGAATTTTTTTGGACCTTTTTTACACTTAACTTTATTGCTATCACACAGTAGCCAACAAGCCCCTGTGTAATAGCATTTGGACGTGACAGGTTCTCCGTGCTGGCTCTCCTTTGACAGCTAAGACAGGAAGGCCGTGAGTACAGCGTTCTGTTCACACAGAGCAGATCAGAGAAGGGACATTCTCCGTTCTGCTCCCCGCTCTCCATCCTGAACAACTTTGCCGTGGTCCCGAGTCCCTCAGAAGAGCGAGGAACCCCAAAAACCACGGCGGGGAGGGAGGCGGCCAGCAAGGAGAGAGGCAGGCGGCTGTTGGGGTGGGCCATGGAGGGGGGAGCCAGCAGGGGGGACAAACCAGCAGGCTTATTACAAGTGATGTTGGCGATGTCGTGTACTAAACAGGCGGCAGCTTCCCACGCTCTACATTTAGCCCCGCTTGCCCAAAGCAAACTGCATGTCCCAGTCATCGGGCAATAGGAATCCCACAACCCTGCCTAGGCTTGCGTACCACCAGAGGGGCCTCTGCGTGCCCTCTGTGTCACACGTGCCATAGGTTTGCCATCGCTGCTCTAGGTGGATACCTCACTAAGCTAATGACAGCAGTAGCCATTACGTTTTCTTTTTCAGCACCATTTACAGCGCAATGGTGGTTAATATACCTAAGAGCTCATTATTATCTCTGATAAACAGAGATGTCCAGCGATTTTGTACATGATAACGTGACCATTCTGGGTATACTCCATCACTCTTCATCACAAGTCATTCTGAATTGAGAAAGCTGGATGGATGTCCAGTGAAACGTCTTCAAGAAAAATACAGCAAGTCCAGTTGCCTTGACTTATTTTTTACAGATATACCATGACCTGGATGAATGAGAACCTTCACAGACATATACTTCATCACGCTCACTTTACATGCCAATAGTTCCGCCACTCCTTCTATTCATGACCTTTTTCTGAAAAAGCCGGTTACTTGTCATGCCGATTCTCCGGCTTTTAGTTCTTTCTTTCCTAGAAAATTCCTAGGCAGAAATGTGAAAAAAAAATAAACAACTGACCAATCTTTCTGCCATTTGAACTGATGCAATTGGATATTTTTACTGAAAACTGGATTCCTTGTTTAGATCGTTCAGCGGTGGATTTGATGTGAAGATGCAAGGACTCAGCATATCTGTAGGACTGCAACTGGGCAGCGATGGGGAAGGCAGACCAACTATAGCTCCCTCTGATTGTAGCTGCCATATCTCGGGTGTCAGTGTCCATGTATCAGGGAAGTTCGGGTGAGTCGTTTATTATTATTTTTATTATAATTATAACAATTGATAGGCAAAGGTATGTTTGTGGGTATCTTTAAAGAGAACCAGAACGGACATTTGTAATAATCTGAATTGTGTTATACACATCTTAGGTATTACTTGATTTCCTATTATTTGTTGGTATTCTCTCCCTGTCACAATAAAAGTATCATGATGAGGCCGGAAGCCTCAGCAGAGGCTGCCCTATCTCCTGCCTGAGCTCAGTTCCAATAATAGGCAATCATTAAACTGCCCTATAACAAAAGTTCAACATTACAACAAAAAAAACCCAAAGCTTTGTTAAATGATAGTTTTACTCTTTCTCCAGCAAGCTCAATAGACTTTTCGTTGTCAGCACTTGGATCAGAAACCCTTTAGCCTGACAATTATATTTTGACAGGTAAAGAACGCCAGTATGGACCAATTCACACCAGTGCACTGCGGTAAGGCATGCCATGTGCACTGGTACGTTACAGTGCCATTTATTGCTAATGTAACCGCAACGCACCTTCCCAACCCACCTACTTTTTAGCGCTAGCCAAACTTGGTGCAGGTCCAACACTTGACCCACTGTGGCACATTGGCAGCCCATTCAAATGAATGGGCTGCCACAACGTAATGCATATTAATGTGTGACGGGCATTAAGTGCACCACACCAGACCACCCCTAGTGTGAATGACATGATTAAATAATAGATAAGCCCTGAGAGGTTAGACTGCACTCTCATACCATGGAGCTTGAATTTATTACAGGAAAACCTGATTATCTTTTTCTCTTAAAGGGTATGTATGGACAAAATAGTACATCTCTGCAATATATATACAATTCTCCATGTTTTATCTTTAGTACCTGCCAGAAATCCAGTGAGCTCCTAACTTTTCTGTAGGGAGCTGACAATGCTGCTTGTGCTGCACTGAAATCACAAGCAGTGTTATCTGAGTTCTCCTCCTCTAGACTACAGCACCCCTACTGTATGGTATTGTATGTAGATGAGGAAAGAGGTAGGGTGTTCTGTTGTCCAGCAGGGTAACTCAGACAGGGCTGACAACCCAGCTCAGAATTTAGTGAAGCAGAGGCACCGTTATCAGATCAAACAGGAAGCTAGAAGGTCACATGATTTCTGGCAGGATCAAAGGGTATTTTTCTGTACTTGCAGAAACAGACAAAACAAAGAAGAAGTGATTTTTTTGAATCTACTAAATATGTTTTTTTATTTTTTTTGTTTTGCCTAGACATACACCTTAAAACCAAAACTTGGTAAAATCCTTTACATGAGTGGGAGAAACTGAACTGACATACAGTATTTTTCTGTTTTCTCTTTTGCAGCTGGCTGGTCGATCTTTTCAAACACAATGTTGAAAACGCATTAAGAAAGGCTATAGAGGGTCAGGTAATTGGGAACAAAATCCATAAGGTTCTGACTAAAATGAAAACTCTGCAAACAGTGTGAACTATTTGGTCTCTCTCTAACTACAGACTTACACCAGGCTGTTCGCAACATAGTAGTAAAACGGCTCTGCATACATGGAACAGTATTACACTGCTGGCAACAGTAATACATATAAAATAATAACATATTTATCTACATAAACTGAAAAGCAAAACAATTTCAAAAGTATTGATTAGATTTTTAATATTTTATTTGTATTTATTTATTTATTTAACAATACTTTTTTTTACCATAGGCATTTATGCAGCATGGAAAGTGATTGTTCGCTAAGACCAAATGTTTTATAAATTGCAGGTTACCAGTCCTTAGATACGGTCGCTATATTAGTTTTATTTTTTAGGCTTATTTCCCTTTATTTTCACTTGGTGACCCTAGTAGTAACACACTTCCTGGCCAAGGGTGACAGCTGTCACTTATTGCACTGTATCTATGGAGTGCTGTTACCCTAGGACAGGACCAGAAAGCACTCCTCATCTCCATAACATAGAGAACAGGTGTTCTGTAGTTCACAGAGAGCTGGGAATACTGCTAACTGATAAGAATCAGGAGAGGCAGAGAGCCCAGGAAAATATCAACACACAAAGTTTGTGGTAGAATCAACAGATGTTGATTTGAACTTATCAAACAGTATTAAAAATAACACTTTCACTTATATATTTAACCAACCAAAAGGAATAAAAAAAAGAAGTTGATTGTTTGGGGTTACATACACTTTACCATGGTTATTCACAAAAGGGTGAAGAGTTTGGAGAAGACCGGATGAGTGAACTCTCTAGGACAAAATAGCAGATTTGGAAAGATTCTCCAATGCAGCTCACTCTTCAGTTCAGCTATGTTGTCCTAGATTGCTCACTTCTCCTGCCTCCTCCAAACTCTTCACCATTTTGTGAATAGCCCTGTAAGTGTTGATGGGGTTGTTCCATGATGGATTTACATCTTCCATGCACATAAACAACTGTAGCGCTCACCCCTGAAGGAGCTGCTGAATGATCGGGTCTTCCATAGCCTGTCTAGGGATTATTAAAACACATGGCTGCCCCAATAGCACTTACCACTTCCTGTGGTTACCGACAGATTGAAGTCCAGATAATAGCTCCAAGATGATTCTCTTTTATTTCTGAACTCCAGGGAGAGAGGGAAGAGGGTCAGGCACATCCTGCATGAAGGTAGACTCCTTGTACTTGAAACAGAGCAAAGTAACTGCTGCCACCACAGACTTGGACCTTTAAGCCGTACCGGCAATCTGTGTGGAGAACTTCTGGCAAGCAGTACTGTCAAGGGTCTTGTTCAGGCTCAACTTCAGACATGAGCGGCTGACCACTGGGCCTCCAGGCTCAGGCCCCAGTGTCCAGGCCTAGGCACCCAGCTCAGGCCTAGTCCATTCTATCTCTTCAGCAGCAGGCATCCTGCCCCAGTCCAGGAGGGCCCTGGGGAGGGGAAGAGGAAGAGACTGTTGCATCAGCCACACTCAGCATTTATCTCCTCTCCCAGCATGCATCACTGCTACTGTCCTACAGTGATTGGCTGGGAGACATAAATGCCCAAAGCAATCCTCATTGGCTGTTCTGCCCTGTGTGGCAACACACCCACCCACAGGCAGACACAGCTTCACAGATTGTTCTGTCACAGTTGAACTGAACATAGACTATAGAAATATTTTAGCACCCCTATAAGTAGGGTGCTACACAACAAAAAGTTCATGAAGAATTTGACCTCTGCCCCTCACCCTTCCGTACCTGTGGATTTTAGAAAAAACGACCGTTCCTTGTCAGTAGCCATCTTCATATACTGCCCTAGTCCAATAACAGTCTGATATAACTAGTCCATTTCTCATCTGGTCTTTGCACACACATATACAGTCAGATAGATGATCAGAATTTATCAAATTTTAACATTTGTAATTTGTGGTTATCCTTTGTGTTTTCTTTTCCACAGATCTGCCCATTGGTCAAAAATGCCATTACCAGTAAACTGGAACCAATTTTACAAACCCTTCCAGGTGGGCTGACACTCTGAGCATCGACAAATCATTGTCACTGACACATCCTCCCAGATAATTTTTTGTACAAGTCATTCTGAATTGAGAAAGCTGGTTGTATGACCAGTGAAACGTCTTCAAGAAAAATACAACAAGTTCAGTTGCCTTGACTTATTTTTTAACAGATTTAAGTGCTGTAGGAGTATTTTCAAAGATAAATACATTTTAGAAATTGGGGAATTGTGTTATGAGGTTAAGAAATTTCTTCATAAAAGTAAACAATGCACCTGATTTTGAATATCACTTCCTATCATTGGCCCGTTTCTCATATGCTTAAAGTGACATTAAAGTACAATCCCCCCACCCCCCAATGTCAGTGTAGGGACTTACCTTAAATTATGTCTCTTAATCCGATCTTCTTCTTCTTTCCTGATGTTTTCAGCCTTCTCTCCAGCGCTGACTGGACTGTGCTTGCTGGCACGTCCTGTCCCACGGTGTCTGCATGCGGGTGCACGCTGTCCATAGACTTACCTTGTGTCTCTCCTCATCTCCTGGCCGAAAATCTGAACTGCACATGCGCCCGCCCCAATATGCTTTGCGGCTGCCCGAGATTTTTCAGATTTTCGGACGGAAGCACGCGGCGAAGACACAGGTAAGTTTAAACCTGTTTGAAAGGTTTTGTTTTTTTATTACGTTTTTGCATATATCTACTGCTTGCTAGCAGTAGATATATGCAAAAAAACTAAGGGTTTAATAACCCTTTAAGGGCAATAATCAATGCCTCGGGAAGCAAAGACTCTTGAATCCCTGAGGCATCAGAAATTTTCCAAACACACTAAACCTTATATCACGGAGGTTCAAGAGTGCCTAGCAGAAAGTATGGAATCTGAACCTTGGTAGCGGTATGGAGTAGACTTGGTAGTTATGAAGAAATCCCTGAGCAAATTAAATGAACAATGCTTTTTATCATGTTTTGTCTTTTAGTGACAGCGAAGATTGACAAGGTAGCTGCCATCGATTATTCTCTCACTGGTCCTCCACCTGTGACTTCAGATTGTGTGGATGTTCAACTTAAGGTGAGTTTGTTACTATTGCTTGTGCTAGTATTAGCTTTGATTGAAGGATAAAAGGATGATAAACATAACTTGGTATTGATATTACTAGCTCAATGGACAAGCATCCATTGAAGACAAGTGATCACACTTTGCTGGAAGCCATGTTGTCTGTCTATCTCCGCACACTGCTATCTGCAAATGGAATCAGAATGTTCATGTGTGAGCCCTAGATCACCATAGAGCATAGAAGACAGACTTCATAACTAAAGATTTCCTGAATGGACATAAGGTATACTTCAAACGCCTCTACAAGTTTAGTGCTGGTAATTAATATTGGTTTAATGTTGACTAAGTGAGTTCCCTGCCTTACCCAACGTATTTTCCAAAATAGAAGTGGTGGGGGCTCTCTTTTTTTAATTGGTTCCATGGAAAGTTGGGCTGACCTACATACCTGACTTTGGATGTATGGGTAAATCACATTGCAAATACACCAACTGCTCAGTATGATTGCTTGAGATGAACCATATCCCCATGCGCTATAGTATCAGCATTGACACTGAATTTTTGGTGCTTAAAGTGACATTGGCACGTAATAAAGGAGCTTTGAACAACTATAACGTGCCGGTACCCATACATTAAGAAACGTGCAATTATCCCTGTTATGCCAGAATCTCTTGCCCATTCTGATTGGGAAATAGCTCACACGCTTTCTGATAATGTGAATGGGTTGCCTCACTTGCCAATAGGAATGTAGATAAAACATGATGGGTGAGCAAGCTTCAACACTGAACATTTCACAGGATTCCGGCATAGTGGCAGGAACTGCACACTTTAAATTTGTTAGCAGCTTTTTTTTTTTTTTGACCAACAACCCAGGCTGGTACTTTTATGCCTGTATGCACAACGCATGTGTTAGGAGCATGTCTAATGCACCTATGCCCGTCACAACCTTCAGCTCCTTCTGGTGGTTGCTTGTTGGCACTGCAACTGCCCCAGACTTCTTTGTCAGAGTGGGCTAATGCGCCTGGCCTCAAACCCCTCATCCTTGGGATTGGTTAGTGGTGCTTTATTTAAGCATTACAGGCCAAGGGCGCTGATAGTTCTGTCTAGTCCTGTCTGCACAAGCCTGTACCCAGCCTCTGAATATCTTGATCTTGTATCCTGTTCCCGTCTTGTATCTTGTATCCTGTTCCTGTTGTATCTTGCATTTTCTTCCTGTCTTGTATTTCGCTACCAGTCCAGACCTCAGGATGTCCTTGAAATACTTTCTGTCTGCCCCATGTCCTGACCTCAGCCTGACCCTGGAATACTCTGTCTGCCGCAAGTCAGTACCTCAGCTTGTCTCTGGAATTCTCTGTCTGCCACCAGTCCTGACCTCAGCTTGTCACTGGAATGCTCTGTCTGCCATCAGTCCTGACCTCAGTCTGTCCCTGGAATGTTCTGTCTGCTGCCAGTCAATACCTCAGCCTGTCCCTGGAATTCTGGAATTATAGAAATGTAAGTCCTGCGGTCATTCAAGTGCTGGTAGGCACACTGGCCTTAAGGGAAATGTGGCTGCTAAAGGTGAAGTCACTCGCCACTATATACTCTAACTGAAGTGTCTGTGTCTGGTTATGAGAGCATGGCTATAAATCAGTAAACATTTTTTGGCATCTAACCAACTACACAGAAAGTGGGCATGCAGTATCATAGGCCCAGATACCTTTGATGCCATGCAGATAATCGCAGGGCTGGTCACCATGTAGAAAGATGTCTGATGTGCAGAATATGTTTTAGTGCAGACTGAGCATTCAATCACCAGTGGAGTAGGGGAACTTTCTAAGGTGGCCTGCTATTTATGCTTAGATGTCCATTTCCTCTATTCCATAGATTAATCAAAACAACCAAACAACATCTATAACTCCCAAAGTAGTCACACATTTGTATCTGCATTTATGGATGTATATACCTGCTTTATACACATGAAAAATGTATGTGCCTTTGTGGCTACAGTTTATATGATATCACACAGATATGATATACACCACATGACATGACCCTGTAATGATATTAATTCATTGTGTTCTTCTTAGGGGGAATTTTTTGAAATGTCCCATCGTACCCCTCCACCTTTCTCACCGCCATCCCTGTCCTTACCTTCTGAGCACAACCTCATGATTTACTTCGGAATCTCTGATTATCTGTTTAACACGGCCGGCTTTGTCTATCATTCAGCTGGGAAACTCATCTTCAATGTCACTGACAACATGGTATGTTAAAGACTTAAGTATGTGTTCTGGATAGTACAAGATATGTGTGATAGGATGGCTAGTTTCTGTAATGTTCATGGTGCTATGAGGAGTGGTATGACAATGAGATAGCTGTAGAAGCAACTAATACTAGGTTTGGTGTCCTGGAGAGGTCCAGCTTTCCCACTGACTAAAGAATAATTGCAGAAATACATAGATAGTGGTGGGATTTTAAGCATTCCCTCCTAATGGTGTGGGAATAGTATTTATGTGCAATGTCTAGACCAGTTTGCAAAAAGGTTCCATAGAACAGGGTTCCATAGAACACAAGGGTTTTCCTAAAGGTGCTACAGGTTCCACGAGTCGTGGCTAACTGATCTCCTGCCTACAGTGTCCATCAATATAAGGAGGACATTTCCCAATGGCCACCAATGTAAGGGGTCACTTCAACACTAACCAATTATTTTAGCAAACACAACCGTTTTCATTTACTCATTTCATACCAAGATTAATACACTAGGACACCACATTCCATATTCTTCTATTTCCTACGTTCAACAACTTAGTGAGCACGCTACATTAAGTAAGCTGGAGTTTTAAGGGTTTATTTGGGGTAAAAAGTTTGATTCAGACACTAGGCCGGCAGTTCCTTCAAACCAAAGAGGCCCCAAGGCTGCCTGAAAGCAACCTTTGACCTACAGAATACATTTGATTGATGTGATAAAGGGGTAAGGTTCTAGCCTCTGAAATGGCCTTTTAAACAATCTTTGTCTTACCTTTCACAGGAATAAAGTCGTTATTTGTGGACTGTGATAGAACGGTCATACACTCTCTCTCTGAAGGATGATTGGATCTTTGTCCCTCATTGCCCCAGTAAAAACATTATAGCACATGTATGAAAGGAGAACTATGGGGCAACCTTTTTTGTCCATATAGTCCTCCTTCAGGGTCATGGGAGGACATATACTCTGGTAACACAAAACATGTCCTCTGGTGACACAAAACTCAGCATATAGCGGGCTACTGCCCACTATATGCTGAGAGCGCAGAGCTGTGCTGCAGACAGGATGAATCCTGATAATACTGTTGAGATCCACCGCACTGGCTGAGCCAGCTGAGCCCAAGGCAGAGCCAGCTGTGCCCATCCACTCCCCTCTCTTTTCCTCTAGTCAGTGCTGGAGGATTGGAGTGGGGAGGGGGGAATCCCTGCAGGGAGCCGTGACTGACAGTCACTACTTTCTAAAGGGAGAGGATCGAGAAGTCGGGAAATGGGCGATCAGCACTATTTGTTCGCTGACTTCCCAATCAATAGAGCCGTTCTGTGACAGCTTCAGTGTCACAGGTCAGCTTGAATTATGAGAATGAGTGTTTTACACTCACCCCATAATTCTCCCTTAACTAAAAAAGACTTGTAATATTATCTGAGAATTGTGAGTATATGGTTAGTGTTATTAGGAATGAGGAAATATTGGGGACCAATGGCTCACCGTTTGCTCTATGGCACAGGGTAACGGATACTCTATGTTCAATTTAAACAAACATCTTCTCCCTTTAGCCCCTGATATGCTAGGTCATTCTGCAAAAATAAAACTGAAATTAAAAAGGTATCTAAACCCAAAAACAAAAACATAATATATTGCAGCTTACTAGCCCTTAAATGTGGTGGCTGCATTCATTTCCTTTTTCAGGCTTTTTTCTTTTTATATTTGCCTGGTGTTCCTGCCACTAACATGCTTCCTGTCCTAGAGTCACAACACTCATCAGTGTACTGTATCTATTGAGGAGCAGTATTGTCATCCTTGGCTGCTCTCCTAATTTGGACTACAAACACCTACTCTCATTTCAATTACAAAGGCAGGGAGTGTTCTGTAGAAGATCGGTGGAATGGTTGATATCAATGAGATTACAGTTCAGTGGCAGAATAAAAAGCTATATTTATGTACTTGCAGAAATGTACTTAGCCTGAGCAAAAAAAAATGCAGAATACAGGAGAATCCTACTGCACTCCTTACTGATATGTCCCTTGCGGCGAGTGCTATAGTGACTGGGGATGGCGCCGCTTTAGATTCAAGTAGAAAAATATATCATCAGCACACCGAGGTCACATCTTCAGAAAGTGATCATTTTATTGATACACACACATCTTGTCACATTGCAACGTTTCGGGGCCATGGTCATGCCTGAGGAAGGGACCTTGAGTGGTCCCGAAACGTTGCAATGTGACAAGACCACGATTTGACCACGAGGTGCTGGTAATATATTTTACTTAAAAAAAATGCAGTCACCACATCTAAAGACTGGTAAGCTGCAATATATAACATTTTGTTCTTAAAATTAGATACACTTTTACTGGGATTTGCAAACACATTGAACCTTTCTGTTTTTTATATAAAATTGCCATTTCTGAACCTCTAATAGGAAACAAATATTTACCCAGCTTAGTAATTTTTACAGAGGTATTAAAACCACAGCTAATTTATTAAAATATGCAGGCTTCTAAGAAGATTAAATATAGTTGAAGTAAACAAATGAGACAATGAAGCCTTAACAAGCATTAATAATTGTGCACATGGCATATGAAGTGCAAGTAAATGAAACAGAGTACTTTGTCAAGCAATTTGGCAGCTATTGTCTTCGACTGTTCTAACTACCCTGAGCTGATGGATGCAGGTAATCACTATAGGGCAGGGGTAGGCAAACTCCAGCTGTGGTGAAACCACAAATCCCATCATGCATCTGCCACTGGGAGTAATGCTTGTGGCTGTCAGAGTCTTGCAATGCCTCATGGGACTTGCAGTTTCAATACAGCTGGAGGGCTGGAATTTACCTACCCCTGTATGGGATGTGAAATCCAGGACAAGTCCAGGATTACTGGACTTGTCCTGGATTTCACATGGTGGACTCTGCACTTTTGTACACGGAAGAAAGATGATATTCCATAAACAGTGTTCACTACAATTAAAAAAATATAATGTACACTTTTTATAAAATACTATATAACGCATGAAATAACTGTTACAAATGTTAGTTGCTATTACATACAAATAAGTGTAATTCCTTTCATTTTTAGATTCCTAAAGACTTCAGCATTCGCCTAAACACTTCTTCATTTGGCACGCTAATACCTCAGGTAAGAAACTGTTTAGTACAATTAGGGTTACTGATATGCATCTACAGCCATGCCAGCCACACATAGCCCCCTACCCCCATTTTCCACCCAATGTGTGCCCAAAAAAATGTACTTTGCAATACTTGCCTCTTCTTTGACATTGTACCCCAAAGACACTCATTTCAGTACTGTTGAGCATCATTCAATCCACTTCCTATGAGCCCTGTCCCTCATGGTCGCACTTATTGAGAGGTCGTCACTACGCTGGCCTGAACAATAAACAGAGAGTGGCATTTTGTAAAGAAAAATGAAATGGGGGGGCTGGGGGTAGGAGGTTACTGAATGGAGTTGGACTTGATTTGATATGACTACAGCTGCTGTACTTATGTCAGGTCCCCTACTGGCACAGTATGACCTTCTGAAAGTCCCACTGCTCTTCACTGGGACTTTAGTCAACTCAGTCTGTTACTGTTCAACTGCTGATGAAAAAAAAAAATCTTATCAGGGGTGTAACTGCATATCACGGGGCCCCATAGCAACATTTTTAATGAAGACCCCCCTTCCCACCGCGACCTCACTACTGTCAATGATATTAAAGGCACGTAGCAGGAGAGCTAACTGCGTAGTCTCCTCCGCAGCAACTTCTGTAATCCTTAATGGGGACCCCTTCCATCCAATGAGTGAATCCCAGCAGGGGTCTAACTGCAGCTCATGGGGTCCTGTAGCAACCTTTTGATGGATCCCCCCTATGACCTACCTACTGAAGGCATTTGGCAGGAGAGCTGACTGCATACTGATGTCATCTCTGCAAAATGTCACAGGGGGTACAGGGTCAGTGTCATCAGCAACTTCTGCAATCCTTAATGGGGCCCCCTTCCACCCCCAGGCCCCATAGCAACCACATGGGTTGCTATGGTTATTGTTACCACACTGTTTCCTATAAACCTCTTCTGCCAGCTGAATAACAGTTAAAATGTGAAACTATTGAAGTCATATATGTGAGAATCACGACACTAACATAATGCCAATGCCAATATGTGCCAACAGTCAATGTTCTTGTCTTGTTTTGTTACAGTTATCCAAGATGTACCCAGATATGCTCATGAAACTGAAGATTTCATCTAACTCCGCTCCATTTCTAGACATCAAACCAGGAAATGTGACTATTTCCCCAAACATGGACATTCAGGCCTATGTGATCTTACCCAACGCCTCTCTGGCTCCAGCATTCCTACTCAACGTGGTAAGTTATTTTCATATGTCAGTAGATTTCAGAATGTTTCATAGGTAAAGGGCAGGCCCACCTGAAACCTACTGGATGTAGTTTTGGGTCACTACTGTTAGAGGGGTTCTCATCTTCAGGTAAAGTTAGTTGCAAGCAGCAAATTGGTTGGGAATTAACCTAATTAAGGTATAGGGCAGGGAGCTTAGACCAAGGAAAGTTCTCTGAGTTGATTTTTAACTTCTTGAATATTATGATGTAGCTGGAATGTGCAAACATTGTCAGGAGTATGCACAATTTCCAGGTGGAATTAAGGTAGGGAGATCCCGCTACTGAAGTATTCAACACATAATAGAAGCCAGGGTCTGACTCAGAACTCCAGGCCCCAACCATAACAAATATTCAGTTTTAGTGGAACGACCCTTTATTATAATTATACAGGATTTATATAGTGCCGGCAGTTTGTCCAGTGCTTTACAATATAAGGAAGACATTACAGTTACAATACAAATCAAGACAAGATGATGAGGGCCCTGCCCCATAGAGCTTACAATCTAAAAGGAATTTATTGGCATGCTCACTCAGCTTTTAGAACTCTTCTGTCTTTCTTGAGGGTGACTGCAAGAGGGCTGTGCTGAGTTTTTGACGTGTTTAATTATCCATTCAAACACGATAGAAGAAAACTGAACACATTTTACTTATGCAGAGAGAAGCAGGAATCATGGTCAATAAGCACAGCACCATCTGTTTTGTCTGCTTGAACAGACCATGGACCTTATCCTGGTACGTTCTGAGGCTTCTGATAAAGCCATATGGAGGAGATTTTGATATTGGGGTCCATAATGCCTTAGTTCCTCCCTAGTGAGATTCGTTTCTGTGTGAGCGAAGTACTATATCATCTGTTAGCTCTATTCAAGCTGATCTATAAAATATTAAAGTGCTATTGAGAAATAAACAATTATATTCCAGCTGTCATTTAAAAAAAAAAATAAAAGCTAACATAGTATGTGAAGAGATATAATTGCATTGAGTCTTATCTGCAGCTCCGCTGTAATGATTGCTCGTTGAACATATCTTTGCTTGTCATCTTTCCTACAGACAACCACCGCTCTAGCGAAGGTGGCGGTGAGTTCAGGAAGGATTGTGGGTAATCTGGAACTAAGTAGGTAAGCAAATTTTAGTTCTATGAACTTTGAGTTTCAAAAACTATATTAGCTTTTCTTCTGTATATGTTTTGGATATACACCTCAAATAACAGCCAGCGGGCCGCTTTTTGTTGACAGCAGAAAGATGGCAAACTCTTTGACTTTCATGCTTTCATGTTGTTTGTAGGATACAGATGGACCTCAAACACTCTGATGTGGGTCCTTTCTCTGTAAGTATAACTATGGGGAAGGTAAATTAATTGGACTAAAATGGTCATTCTAATAGACCTATGTACTGTATGTATGTATATAAGTATGTATATATATATATATATATATATATATACACATACAGTATATTTATATATTAGGGATGCACGGATACTGATACTAGTATCGGTGCCAATACCGAGTATTTGGGTGTACTCGTACTCGCCCAAATGCTCCGATACTTACCCTCGATACCAGAACTTCCAGTCAGAGGGAAATTTCCTATGACTGACAGTTCCGCAAGGGAACATGGAGCTGGCTTCCCGGACAATCAGGAAGCTTTCTGATTGCCTGGGAAGCCGGCTCCATGCTGTTTGGCCAAAACAGAGTGGAGCCGACTTACCGGCCAATTAGGAAGCCGGGCAGTGGTAATGGCCCACCTCCTCGATTGGCACAGGAAGCCGGCTCAATGCTGATTGGCTGGGATGCCAGCTTCCCAGCCAATCAGCATCAAGCCGGCCAAATAGCATAGGGCCGGCATCCCGGGCACTCAAGAAGCCGACAGCGCTTAATGACCGGCTGCACGGCTTCACGATTGAATAGGAAGCAGGCTCCATACTACTGGAACTACTGGTATTGGTACTCAGTATCGGCGAGTACTATTCTCTCTCTGTGTGTGTGTGTGTGTGTGTGTGTGTGTTTGTTTGTACTTTTGTGTGCAAATCCTAATGCAATAGGCTGCGTACACATATGAACTGCACTGGAATTACATAAATAGTAAATGTATAAAGGTTGTGCTGATATCAGTTTCTCCTCTTTTTAACTGCAGGTGGTGATATTGGATGCTGCTGTGAACTATTATCTCTCCCATATACTGCTTCCCCAGGTTAATGGTATGTAGATCGTTCTAATAAATAAAAGACTTAAAGTGGAATTAAAGGAAAGTTGTTTTTTTTAAATGCCAATTAGTAGGTTTTTTTATGGCAGAGGAGACTGTGTAAGTTTTTTCCACCATTCAGCATTTTTTCATTTCTGTACTCTGGGCCGTACATGCGCAGCTCAGTGCACAGACCCAGCATGCCGAGATGAAGTAAGCATGCGCAGGAATTACCGTATTTTTCCGTCTATAAGACGCCCTCATGTATAGGACGCCCGCCACTTTTTTTACCCAAAATTCAGAAATCAATATTTTTCATGCTCTTTTGCATAACTGATTACATCCAGTTTAAATTTTGCAGAGTAAGACAACCGCTTACTGGTACCGGTATTTTTTTTGTTTTCTGAAATTTTTATGGGCTCCCTGTTGCATCTGGGCACTGGCTACACGCTCTCCGCAGCATCAGCTAACATCAGGTACATAAGGCCCATGATTGGAGGAAACCTGTTAGCTTGTCTCTGCAATCGGAAGTTTCACTCGTGCGGCTAGTTTGCAGAGGTATCGGCAGTTTCGCAACCACGGTTCTCCTCTCGGCCCCCCGTGTATAAGACGCCCCTCCATTTTTAGGTAAATATTTTAAAGAAAAAGTATAGTCTTATACACGGAAAAATACAGTACTATATAGAACCAAGCCGAAGATAGAAACACTGCAGAGGGAGGATCGTGGCGCTGGTAGGGAACAGTAGAGTAGTCTGCCATGATCTGCTAATGTGCTGTGCTCCAGGGTTTTTGTTTTTTTTAAGTCACTTTACTACAACTTTAAATCTCTTAGATAATATAAACAGTTGAATAAATCTTGGATACATTTGATGGATTAGACGCTCCATTGCACAGACTCATTTGCCTTCTTTAGGCTGTTTATTTTTCTTTGAAAATGTAGCAACTTTTTGGTTCTGTTCACAATGAGCATTTAAATCTTCTTTTATCCTGGCAAGCAGAGGTGAGCTGAGATTACCATTGTCTGTGTGTCATGTCCATGTCATAAACCTTCAGCATTCCTTATCTTCTTATGTACAGAGGTTGTTCAATTTCCACTTTGTGTCACTAACTGACATACTGATAGTAATGTATCTCCAAGTCATTGCTACAGCCAACAAGAACCCCTTCACAAATATACTGAAATGTAGCAATATACCCAAATTACATGTGACATTAGTTCACCCCTAGAGATTGTGCTAATGTAGACATTGTGCTAATTATTGTGATGATGATAATAACAATAATAATAAAAAATAACATTTATAATAATAATTACTGTTGTTATTATTGTTGTTATTATTATTCTGATGTAGTGCAAAAAAAAATAATCTGGTAGATGATTTTGTATAGAATCAGAATTATACTGTATAGCTATGGCACATTATTACTGACACCCTTCTCCTGTCTTAGTCCATATAATTGGAATAAGTATAATGATATGACCTGTATGTAGAGGAAGTTACAGTCGGTAACACAGGATAATGATGATATGACCTCATTTATATTCTATTTCACTTATATAGACATCCTGAAGAAGGGTTACCCCCTGCCAATGCTGGACCATCTGCAGCTCACAGATGTTGTCGTAGAACCTCGTGAGGTTGGTACTATTTAATATCCCTCCATATGAATTATATATGAGACACCTATGTTACTTTTATTACTTTCCTCTTTCCCCCAATGTACTGTATACAAGATTGAGGGGTGTGGGGCTAGCGAGTGTTTGATGTATGTGGCCCATCATCTATGAACCAGGGCTATGACTCTAGCCAACAATTATACACACAACACTGCAGGGGCGTAACAAGAAATCACAGGGCCCCATAGCAAAATTTTGTATGGGGCCCTGTGATTTCTAGTTACGTCCCTTGCAGAGCCCACCTGAGAACCCAAACAGTTCGCCTGAGAGTGACCCTGCAGAGCCCACCATAGAATCTCTATGGTGGGCTCTGCAGGGTCTCCGGTGGGCTGGTCACACCCCTGCTCACCTCTTACCTGCCAGCCCCGATCCGCCTCCTCCTCCTGCACAGGTCCCCGCCTCCTCTTCCATCGCTGGGCCCTGTCTCCCCTTCCATCGCTGGGCCCCACCTCCTCCTCCGCTGCCGACGTCGGGCCAAACATCCTCCGCCACAGCTGCTGGCTGTCACTGACACAGGAGCGGCTGTAAGGAGGAACGCGCCGCTGCATAGATCACTGATAGGTTGTCAGTGATCTAACAGCAACAGAGACAGCGACTCCTCATACCCGCCAGTGACAGCCAGCAGACTGCGATGCCATAGCGACCCAGGCGGCCCACACGGCATCAGGGGGGTGTCCTGGCCGGGCCCCCCTGTGCCCTGGGACCCATAGCGGCTGCCTGGGTCACTATGGCGATTGTTACGCCACTGCAACACTGGTTAGGCGGCCATCATATAAATACAGTATATGTCCTTTTAAAAAGAAAGAGAAACCCCCTGAACTCTGTGTGCTGCACTAACTACATCACTGTGCAAGAGTGGAAACTGTCAGAAGTGTTATATAGTAAACTGAGTTTTGGTAAAAGAGGCCCCTTAAAGCTGAACTCCAGACAGATATAAAGGATACAACTTATTGCTCCAGCAACTATCCATCTACTAGGGAGGAGCAGAGGGGGTCTTGCCTTGCTGTGCCTGTCTATTTGTGCACACACAAAGGTGGCTCCATAGGACCCTGCAAGGGCTAGAAGTCACCCCGAAACAGGATAAAAGGGCCAGTGCTCAGGGGACCAACTGATTCTGCAGAAAACAAACTTTTAAACATCTAGGATCAGAATCCATTGATAAAATTATTTTGACTTTGATATCACTTTAAGCAGTAGTACCCTAGGTATTATTCCATACAGGTCACTTTAATGGGCACTGTCTCCTGCCCGCTATCCCTGTTTTCAGCAGCCAGGGCAGCTAAACATACTCTGATAATGATTTTACATTTTATCTGGTGTGCAGGAATGATTGCACAGTTTATTAAACTTCAGCATTGTAACAAATGATTTCTGTTTTCGCTGCTATTCCAAGCTTGTTCTTCTTGAACATGTAATAGTAAATTATCATTAGCTACTAGGGTTGCCACCTGTCCAGGATTCACCCAGACTGTCCGGGTTTTGAATGCTGTACCCGGGTTTCATGGCAGCAGAAACCCGGACACAAGATGTCATGCAGACAGGGGCAACCAAGATTAAGATAGGGGCTACTGGCCCCCCACTGAAAATAGTTTCAACTGTGTTATTTACATATGAATGGGTGGCGCTATTTCAAAATGAATACGCCACCACTCATTCTCCCAAAAAAATATCCGTGTGTCGCTAGAGTGTTCGGGTTTCCCTTGAAGAAAAGGTGGCAACCCTATTAGCTACTCACATTGCAATTGAGCAGATGATACAGTTTGGTGTTCTATAATATTTTTATTATATTGCAGAATTTCATTCTCTTTGGAGCAGATGTTCACTACGGAGAAACAGAAGACAACTGGCTTGTTGATTTATACTGACAGAGAAGTTGGTGTCAGGGTTGTACTGTATCATAGTAAACCTGTGCTTACCAGAAAGTCAATGGGTTAAGCAGGACTTAAAGTTAATCCTTGAGGTGTATACCGGGAGCATCTCGTACTTCATGTGTTTAACCAGACATTGTTGTAGCGCACCCAACAATACTATTTAGTGTCGGTGGTCTTATTGTACCTTAAAATATATAGTCCAATCACATCCTATATGATCGGTACTTCAGATTTTTATCTAGAGCATTCTTTACTGCACCTGACAACCCAGTCCCTTGTTGGGATCTGCTTCTTGTTCTGCAGGAACCTTTTTTTTTAACTCCCTTTGCAGGCTCCATGCTATTTGTCACATACAGAAAGCCTCATGTAAAAGAATTACTTCCAAGAGGTACCAATCATAATCAGATGTTCCTTGGATGTTTAAAGAACTCCAGGAAAATAAAAAAAAACGTACCTATGCAGTGGGGCTACTGCCACACTGCAAGGGTTGAGTGCTTGTTTGATCTAGGGCCTTGGTTCTCAACTGGTGGGTCGTGACCCAAAAGTAGTTTGCGACCCTATGTTCAGTGGATAGCCACTCGCACTCTAATTTCATACCAAGCCAATTCCTTTAATGACTATAGTAGTGTCACAATCATACAATCGACGTTTCGGAACCAAGTGGTTCCTTCTTCAGGCAAACGTATCACTTTATGTTTGCCTGAACAAGGAACCACTTGTTTGTGTTTGGGGGCCCATTCACACTAGTACAGTGCGTTAATCACACCTACCTCACGTTCTGGTGTGGGAGGTGTATTACATTGCCATTCATTTGAATGGCATCCCAAATGCATCTCCCACCCACAGTTCTATCGCACGCATCGGAACACGTGGAACCACAATGCCATGCTTTTCATTGCAGTGCAACTTGGGTCACGACTTAATGACCAAGGACAAATGTGGGTGCTGAGATTACACAGGTTGAGAACCACTGATCTAGGGTGCTCGAATAAAGCTCTATTACTTACCTGATCCTCAGTTCCCAGGCGGTTGGCACTCACCTCTCCCACCCTCTGCTGCGGCTATGGAGTGTCCCTCCGTGTCCTCACATCCAATGCAGGTCAATAAAACTGCATAAGATGTGATAAAGTCAGTGGTCCTTTTTCTCAAGTGCCTTGTTAGCGCCAAAACCCAGAGCAATCAATCATGTCAATACCAGAGATGCATGTCAATGCCGATCTTACTCTTTCTTCTCCCAAAACCACTCTACCCTAACTGTAATACACAGCCTCTCTAAGCAATAGTGGGGTGTATGGGAGCAATGGTGGGGTCAGGGTGTAACTATAAATCATAGGGCCCCATAGTAAAAATGTGATGGGGGGGCCAGGCACCTGACAACCTCTCTCTGAGCTGTGACTCCTCTTGTGCATCTGACGTCAGCTTTCCTACACTGTAGACCTTTACAGAGAATGTCATCAACTGCAACCACTCCAATCATTAATGATACAGTAACTGCGTTATCTTTACATGTTCTATGTTTAGTTTGCCTCAGCAACCTAATGGGGCCTCCTTCCACTCCCAGGCCCCATAGCAGCCGTCTGGGCTATAGTTATGCCCTTGGGTGGGGTGTATGGGAGTGGGCTAGATCACAGCCTTCCAATCTGAATCTTTCATTTGTCAAACGTTTTAATTTTGATCAAAAGATAAAAGACATGAGAAAAATATATGTGAATGTCTACTTTGTTTCAATTTTTTTAATTAAAAAAATATAGAAAACCAATTTTCTTTTGTGTTTTGTGTCCCTGATGTGTGTCTGGTATTTATGATGTACACGGGTTGGGTCTCACTGCAGGTTGGGTATCATCAGATAGCAGTCAAGTTTCCCGTGCCTTGATATATAGAATCTACAGACATGCTGGTCACAGTGTGACATTTGTCACCAATTTCTGTCAGTGTCAGACAAGTTAAATTGACATCTGATAATGACAGCTTACTTATCAGTGGCACAACATGAGCTTTGTATCCATATTATGGTGCAGCAGCGGCGGCTTGAGAACCAACAAGACACATTTCATCAGTCAGATTACATCAGCTTAATAAACGCCGATTTCTGATTTGGCCGCACTCTGGCTAACTTAAGTGCAGGACCTCAATATCAAGTCCTGGGGTGGTTGGGGAGTGAGTGTATGATTGCACGTAACTCATCAATTTTCAGTGGAACATTAGCAGTCAAGGACTTTATAACATATTCGCAAATGTCCTGTAAATATAGAGGTACGGTATATACCCTTTTTAGTGCATTGGTTTTAAGACTTTTTGACAAAACACATGAATAAAGTACACTCTATGGCTGAGTGTTTTTAAACACTGGATCATCACACCTATATGGTGTTGGAGGACATCTGACTCCAAACTCAGGGGGATATGGAATTTGCCCGCCCTTCAGAAGAACAAGCACAGACTCCACTCTTCTGGGAATACTTTCCACAAGATCTTGGAGTGTGCCTGTGTGCAGACTCCATATGTGTGCATTTGTGAGGTCAGGTATTAATTAGGGATGCACTGATACCGATTTTTCGGTATCGAGTACGACTCGTAGGGATGCACCGATACCAGTTCAGATACCAGTGCCGATACTTGGCATTTTCATGAGAACTACCAGGGTGGCAGCGTTTGCAGCCAGAACCTAGCTCTGGCGCTCCACCACTGTACTGAAATCATTAGTCTGTATGGTTTTAGAAAAACTGTCACATGACAATAAACAAAAATGTATCAGTACTTGTACTTGCAAAAATGGTATCGGTGCATCCCTTTATTTATATTTATACAAATAAAACCATACATTAAAACAGAGATGTACAAATCCCGGGAGCTGCGTGTGCTCCTTACAAATGACAGCTGAATCCTAACTTTTGAATTTTTCTCTAGTCCGGTCTTGGAGCACGAAAAGTATCTATACATGTACTTGTACCGAGTACGGTACTTGGTATTGGTGCATCCCTAAGTACGAGTACCGATATTTATATTTCGGTACTCACTCATACAGAGTACTGATACCGGTAATTTCCCTAGTATGGAGCCGGCTTCCCGGCCAATGAGGAAGCTGGGCGGTGTGTCATTACCCGCCGCCCGGCTTCTTGATTGCCCGGGAAGCTGGCTCCTGGCAGGCTTCCCAGCCAATCAGCATCGAGCCGGCCAAACAGCATGGAGCAGGCTTCCTAGCCAATCAGAAAGCTGGGAAGCGGTCATTACGCACCATCCGGCTTCCTGATTGGCCGGGAAGCCGGCTTCATGTTCCCTCGTGGCACTGCCGGTCAGAGGAAATCTCCCTCTGACCGGAAGTTTGTTACCTGGTCCTTTAACGAAAACCTTGCACCCTACATTTGTTACCTAGGTGGTATATTAAAGTGGACCTTCCATTTCGTTATTTAGTGACTACGTTCTAGCACATCCCTACTTAACGTAGTATTAAACTCTTGCGCATTTTTCAAAAATGAATCCAGATCAACCATAAAAGGATCATGACTGTCCACAGAGGTTACAAAAATATGAATTTTATTAAAGGAGAACTATGGGGTCAGGGCTTTTCCCCATAGTTCTCCTTAGGGTAACGGGAGGACACAAACTAGCATCTTCCCGTCACCCTATGCTCAGTATACCGCGTCTCACTTCCCGATCTACTGAGCCGACCTGTGACAGTCTCATTGTCACAGGTCGGCTAGAACTATGAGGTGAGTGAAAAGCACTCACCTCATAGTTCTCCTTTAAATATGAAAATTGAATGTATTGGCAAAACTTGTATGTGCTAAAAATACACCCCATGTAACACCAAAAAATGCACAGGAGGGGGGAGAGAGCACCCCCCTGAAATGATGGCAGATAGCACGGGAAGCAATAGCTTCTTTGCTATCTGCTGTTTTTTTTTAGTATTCTGACAGCTGCTGCCGTCAGAATAAAAACATTTTTAAAAATTGTTTTTTTTTTTTTTTTTCTGACTGACTGCGGACCCGATGTCAGAAAAAGAAAAACAGATCGCAGGGAAAGGTTTACTCTGCTAGATCAAGACAGATCTCTGCTGCATCAGCTTCTTGGGGGGGTTCGAGGTGACATTAGGGGAGAAAAAAAAATGAAAGTCACACATGAAAAAGAATTAAAAAAAACAAAAAATATTTACAGTCCCCGCCTATACATACATCTGTGCAAACATGTGTCGGGTGCGCATAAATGCGAAAATGACGATTGCGCCCATTGCGCCGCACATGTTACATATTGCCACGAACGTCGCAGTGAGAGCAATAATTCTAGGGCCATCAATCACTGATAACACTAAACTGATGAGCCCTAAAAGCTTTGAAAACGTTGCTTATGGCCAATTTTGGCTACGGTAGTATTTTTTGCGATTTCACGGGTGCGCACAATTTTAAAGCTCGACATGTTTGGTGTCTATTAACGCGACGTGACCCCATCTTTTATATTTTATCAAAAAATTGGGTAATAATAATTGTAATATAACAATGTCAAAAAAATTCAACATTTTCAGTTAGTTTTCCTTAATATAGTAAAAAAAAAAAAAAAAACCCCAGTGGTGATTAAATACCACCCAAAGAAGGCTCTATCTATCCCCAAAAAATTGTATAAAATTCATTTCAGTACAGCGTTGCATGATGGAATAAATGTCAGTCAAAGTACTGCAACGCTAAATACTGAACAATGGCCTGGCCAGGAAGGGGGTCTGAACACCGCGGTCATCAAGTGGTTAAAGAAAGTCTGAAATAATTTTAAAAAGCATTTTCGCATTAGCATTATGTTCTGCAGGTCACTACGAAGTCAGAATGTCATTGCACCCGATGTGTACATCCCAGCAGTTTTATGTGTGCTGTTGCTCATTGCTGACGCTCCTTACGACATGGATTTCTATGATAAATGTACTATTATCTTTCTACTCATTCTGACATGTGTTGTGTCTTTCTATAGAAGATCATATAGGATCATTCCTAGATAAAGAAGAACTATGGGCGACATATAAAATGACATAAGT